TACTTTAAAAAAAAAAAAGCAAATTATTTATTGTCATTTTTGTATTAAACATGATTAGGTCGTGTCATTTTCAATAATTTAGATTATATCGTATAAATAAGTGAAAACCTTGCCGAGATAATTATTACTACGAAAGGCTACAATGTTACTGCGCCATGGAAGAAAAAATAATGGAAACAAGAGATGATTACATACACTTTAAATACTTGAGGTATATGTATATGTAGAGTGTATCATACGTTAAAAAAATAATAGTATTATTTTTAAATTTTTACTTTATATATCTATAGCATTTCTGAAAGTTTTTACGATAAACTGCTAAATTAAATTATTTAGAAAACAATATGTTATTTGTTACATTCACATTATCAACAAATATGAGTACCTTCTATATGATTATCCACCCATAATTAAGATTTAATTACTGTAAACTTCATTTTTTTTTTTCCTCGATATTCTTTTTATTGCCAGATTCATTGATGTAATATTACATTTTCATTAATAATTTAAATAAATTGATATAATTTATAAATAAATAAAAAAATTAATCTTTATCTTGTTATCAATGAAAATGTAATATCATATCAAACAAAAATAATTAGAGCAGTAATAATTCTTCTACATACTTCTGTGTAATTACTCTATGCTTTGAACCTAGACAGAACTGGTACTATTCCCCACTTCAATCCTAATGATCCCACCAAATCAATTACCATTTTTAGCTCTCTTGCTTTAAGATATTTAGAAAAAAAAAAAAAAAAAGAAACAAGAAGAAGAAAACATACTACTTAAATATTAATTTGGCCTTACAGGGGAAGGTAGAAAGGTAAAAACTGGCAAAGTAATTCTTCAATCAATTACTTGAGAAAAAATATTAATTGATATACACGTATATGCATACACATATATATACATATATAGAACAAATGAAAGCACCCTTTCAACGGCTACCTTGCTCTCATAACAAAAGCAAACAAACTTGAATAGAAATGGAGGGAGAGGATTGCAGTTTCAATTTCCTTATCAAACAAAAAACACCCCCACCATCACCCATCGTAAGGTAAGCAAGCAAGCAATCCCAACTTTACCACCTATTTTCTTTTCTTTAAGTACATCTTTTTTTTTTCTCTCTAGATTAAGGTTGTTGAAAAATGTTGTTGGGTATTTCTCTAATCTAACTTCACTTGATTTCCACGTACTTCTCTGAGGATTTTTTAGCACTCTCTACTACTATCTTCTACACGTTTGCTATCTTTTCCATTTTTCTTCATATTTGTTTGAACAGGCTAATAAACCCAGGACAAGTTATGCCAAAACTTTGATGTTTTTGATACTACCCTCTCTAAGATAATCCATGACATCAAATTATTTCCCTACTGCTACTTCGACTAGATTTTCCCATCAGGAACTTCTTCTCCATATAATGTAATCTGCAAATTCAAGTACCAAACCAAGAATTAGATCCATCATTCAAGGAAGAGATGCCTTTCGGGTTGGTTTCGGCATGGAACAAGCGGCGGAGAAGTAAGGCCCATGAGACAGACCCTTGTATGTTTCTTCTTCAATTTCTTTTTCTTCTTCTTCTTCTTCTTCTTCTTCTTCTTCTTCTTCCTATCTTTTTTCTCCATGTCTTAAGACCGGGTTTCTAATATCAAAACCGAGAAAGCATGTCTTTTCAGAATAGTCTTTAGTAGGCTAAACATCAACTAACCTACCTAACTTCTCAGGGGTTTACAAACCGGCGGAGTATTGGCAACTTGACAATCAAACATCCAAGTCCACAAAGCGACACCATGGATCATCGGTTTTCACTCTCAAGGAAATGGAAGATGCAACATGCTCTTTCAGTGATGAGAATTTTCTCGGAAAAGGAGGGTTTGGCCGAGTTTACAAGGGAATTCTGCGGTCAGGAGAGGTATTTTAGTTTCCACAATGCTGTGATACTACAAAATAATTGTTTCTACATGCTACATAATAGGCATGTTCCCTCCACAAAAGCAGCAATGATTTCTACACTAGTTTCAGGAAGAAAGTTCTCAAAATAGAACAATTATTATTATTTCAGCCAATAAAGATAAATGACAGATAATTAAAGAACCAAAGAATAGTTAACACATACATTAATTTTTTCTTGGAGGTTGTCGCAATCAAGAAAATGGAGCTGCCGCCATTTAAAGAAGCTGAAGGGGAGCGCGAGTTTCGTGTAGAAGTCGACATCCTGAGCAGACTTGACCACCCAAATCTGGTTTCCTTAATAGGCTACTGTGCAGATGGGAAGCATCGGTTCCTAGTGTATGAATACATGCAAAATGGAAACCTGCAAGATCACCTAAATGGTTGGCCCACCGCACAATATCTGTTTCTACACCAGCTTTCTTGCGTTGAATGTTTAAGCATGTACAAGTTCATTACAGGGATTGGGGAAGCAAAGATGAGCTGGCCTATAAGGCTCAAAGTGGCACTTGGAGCAGCAAGAGGACTTGCTTATCTACATTCAAGTTCTTCTGTTGGGATTCCAATTGTTCATAGAGATTTTAAATCCACTAACGTTCTGCTAAATTCCAACTTTGAAGCAAAGGTAATTACCTTTTCATCATAGTGTACTTATTGGAGGTATTAATATCAAACAAAACATACATAGCTAAAACTTCGTTTTGATATTTCTTTTGTAGATATCTGACTTCGGATTGGCCAAGTTGATGCCAGAAGGCCAGGAAATTTATGTGACTGCTAGGGTTCTTGGCACGTTTGGCTATTTTGATCCTGAGTATACATCGGTACAACTCCTTATTCTACATTGATTCTTTGTTATATTGTTCACAGATTTGAAAAGGGGCTAGTTTTCTGTTATTATAATTAACAGTAGAAGTTTTGAAGTGCTTCCCCTTTTGGATTTACAGAGAGTTAAAAAGCTGGAAAAAAAAATCACTTACTGAAAGGAGAAAAAAAGTGATTTCATGATTAGAAGACCTCAACAGAATGAAATGAGTGTTGCAGCACTGACATAAATTGTATCCTTGTGATGTAGGCCGCTATAACCGATCAGATGTTGATATTTGCATCAGTAGAGACAAATAGGCTGCCAGGATAGTAGGGCCATAGTTTTTTCTAAGAAAGCATATAGGCCTGTTTTTTTGAAAGAGATCCCAAATTAGATGACCTAAATAATTTACTAGTTTAGCTTTCAAGCTGATATTCATGTGTGATGTGTGAACTTAGATATATCCCGAACATGCCCAAGGTATATAATGTGTTCAGATCCAACTGGAAACCATCACATTTTCCAAATACATCAAATGAAAGGAGAAAATAGAAAAAAAAATAAAACAATCAATTATATGTAGAGATTATGCAGTTTTCAGCCAACAATTAAATAGAAGGAACTGTAATCTGTTGTAAATCTTGAATCACACTTAAGTTATTTTATTGTAGAAGAAGATTTCTAGATACAACATCTTATCCTATTAAAATTCAATCCAATTTCCAAACAGAGTCTGAATTCTTGGATATTCGTGTTTGCTAAAATTTAGTTATCTACCACGCTTTGACTTTATTTTTCTTTGCTGGATAGTAGACAGGGAAACTCACTTTACAAAGTGATGTTTATGCATTTGGGGTCGTTCTTCTAGAGCTACTGACTGGACGCAGAGCTGTTGACTTGAACCAGGGGCCAAATGATCAAAACCTGGTATTACAGGTAAGAAAAAGCTTCTCATTTGAATGAAATCTAATTCCCAAGTTCTAGGAACACCCAAAGATTAACTCCAGAAAATAACAACATGGATGGTTGGTCCTCTATGTTTCAGGTCAGGCATATACTGAATGACAGAAAGAAACTACGAAAGGCAATAGATCCCGAGCTTCCCCGCAATTCATACACCATGGAATCTGTAGCCATGTTTGCAAACCTCGGATCTCGCTGTGTCCGTATTGAAAGTAGCGAGAGACCCTTGATGTCTGATTGCGTAAAAGAACTCCAACAAATAATCTGTACAAATTCAAAAGGTTTGGGTATAGCTATTCCCACTTTCAGAATGGTCTAGTAAGCCTAGTTTTTTTATCAGGATTGAAGCTTTCTTATATCAATAATAAGGAGTCCTCTTATCTTCTTCCAATAGGCTCTTCACACTTAAAGCTTTAGAAGCTCAGGGACTCATGTCAAATAGTATCATTAAAAAAACCAGAGGAAATATTCCTCATATGTCTGGTTGGAGTCAGCAACAAGCATCAGCATTTTTCCAAGTATGTATATAAGGAAAAGAGTCCATACAGATTGTACTATATAAATACAGGAAACATCTAGTCATCACCTATATAAAGTTACTTGTGTTCTTAAATTGATTCTATTACTACCATACTAATAGAATCATTTTATTTTTCATTCATTTCCTTCTTTATAGAATCTATTTATATTCATTATCTGTTTTTTTTTACCTTCTAACTGGGTCCAAAAGTGATGCACAGTGCAGTACTCATTTAGTTCATTTTATGGCTCGGCTTCATAAGATATACAAAATTATTTCATTCTTTCTCCAAGTTCAGACTTAAAATAAGACAGATTGCATTTGCTGAAACTCGTGAGATATGATACTTACCTGTAACAAAAGATGTGTCTACCCCACAGAGTTAATTAAAAGCAAGGAGACGGCAAACCACCAAATTGACTTCAAGGAAGAACTAATGCAATTTTTGATTGTTGGTTCATGCCAGGACCTGAAAATAAAACTATTTGAATAAGAGGCACCAAATAGGGTAAGAACTGACATCTGATCATCTCCTACTAAACACTGAAATTTAAGAAGGACAATTTAGACTTCCCTGAAATTAAAAAACAAATTAGAAAAGAAGGCAGAAGAAGAGTACTGTTAATATAAAACATACAAGAGCAATTTACAGATGGAGGGAGATTCTTGAGAAGAAAATATTATGCAGGAACTGCATGTACCTTAGAAATTTGTGCTATGATTAAATTACATATTTGTTTATGGAGTAAGCTGCTCATCAGAAATGAGCATATCTAATTGTGAAAAGCTGCCAAAGACTGGTAGCTTTTTGCACATCAAGTGTTTGCGTCTCTGCAACATCAGAAGGATCAAGATGCTATCTGTCTTAACAATGTGGTATCCTGCTTTTATGTACATGTTGAATGGAGCTACATCAATCATTCTACAGTGCAAGTACACCTCCTTTGAAGAACTCATCTGAGATATTAGCTCCTCACTTGCCTTCAACAGATGCCAACCAATGCCCTTCCTGAAAGTTTCGGGATATTAAACTACTGCATCAGTCTTGCTTAGTATACTGTAGATAGATGTTAATGATTATTGAGGCACGAGGAAAACAATGCATCTCATAAACATAAAAAACAAAATGGAAGATTCACATAATTAGTAATGCGCACACATCATGGACATTAAAGGCAACATGGGAAATTTCAAAAGAACTACTTCTACCACATCCACCATGTTCACTACCATCTGTTGAAATGCGTACTGGATTCCTCTCTCTTTGAGAGAAAAAGAAGTATCATTAAGAGAAAGTGCTGCATAAGTACATTTATAAAAAATCAGAAGTCGAAAGAAAATCAGGTTCTGTAGGTCCTCATGATGCATTACGGGATAACCTACGAACAAGAAGTTAGGGAACTAGGACCATGTATCTCTAGTTCTAGCAAATGAGAGTGAATGCCTCTGAACACAAGACAAGTAGATGATTAGGAGATACACTCTTTAGGATAATTGGCAGCTCTTTTCCCCTTTCTTGCCTTGCAGTGAGAGTTCTGCTCTAAATAGCTTAAATATGGAAAGAGAAAAAAAATAAAAACAAAAATAAAAAGTAATTAAGGGAGAGGCTTTGCTCTTTGAGATATGCTTCTATGAGAATTGAAAGGCCATTGAATTCTGAGAGCCAGATGATATCAAAAGTTCACCCAGAACTTCCTGTTTTCAGCAGTGGAGCATGCATCTCTGGAAATATCCACCTGTCACTTTGACAGAAAACCAACAAATCAAGCTAGTCGTATACACCCCAATCATTGAGGTTTTCAAAGAGATGGATGGATTTTTTAAACCACACTGCCTGTAAAGCTGCTTTCCATAATATCAGTGACTGTGGTTTCCTTTACCCTTGCTACAGAGAGAATACTGGGGCATTTAATCCTTAAAGGACTTCCATCACATCAATTTTCCTCCCAAAAACGCATCATCTGTCCATTGCCCACCTTAAACACCAAAAACTCTACAAAGGGAATCCAATCCTTCCTGATTCATATCCAAACATGGGTCCCATACGGCTTTCCACCTCTTCCATTCCTCCAACCCTGCCTTCAACCCCAATTTTTCTCTTTGCAAGTTAAATATCTCCCAACCATTTTGCTGATAGAGGTTTATTCATCTCAATTGAGGATCTAATGGAAAGCTCCCCTCTCTCTAACCTGCCCTCTGGCTAACTTTCCAGTCACTCAAAGTGATAGCAGCATTGGTCCTCCGAATCTTTAGCAGCATCAAACCGACTCCAAGGTCATTGCCCTTGGTGGAAACAAGATAGAAGGAGGCTCTTAACTAGAGTTAATCTCCCACCTTTCCCAAGAGGAAAATTTCCTCTTTCCATTAGCCAGCCTTCTCTTCATCTTCACAGTTACAGGATCCCAAAATCATATCATTACTGAATCTTTCTCCTGAAGGCAAACCCCAATATTTCAACAGCACCTTACAAGTTTTGCACCTAAGCACAGCAGTATGGTCTTCCACATCAATGCCTTCCCCCAGAAGATACCAACTCAGGCTTTCCAGCTTAACCCTAAGCATACCAGAGTCCTTGAGAGCCATGGTGGAGCATGGCTCTTAAACCTGTCTATTTAACCTCTCAAAGTACTGTACTTTCGAAGTTTCCAAAAAGTTGATTCAACCACAGTTAAATGTTAGGTTATCATGGCTTATCTATGAAAAGTCTTCTTCAATCCGTACACAGCATAAGGATTTGGAGAAATTAGGGAAGCAATATCTTAACTGCCAATATCGATGTTTCATTAATCTTTCTTGACCTTAAAAATAAGTGAGGGAGTTTTGACTTAAACACGATGTACACTATCTTTAGTAAGTTGATAAGCGCAAAAATAATTGGAGAAAGATATTTAAAGTTGGATACACTCCTACGTAGTTGTTTCTCAGTTCTTGATGCAATAATAGGGAATATTGAGAAAATATTAGCTCAATTTTGGTGGGTCAGAGAGCTGATGAAAGAAGAATACAGTCGGTAGCATGGTAAAAAGTGTGATTCTCTAAAAGACTTGGGGGCATGGGTTTCGTAATCTGCAGTATTTCAACCTTGCTTTTCTGGCAAAAACAACTTGGTGGTGACTGGAGATTCTTTGTTGGCTAAGATTCCCAAGAGCCAGGTATTTCCCAACTTATCTTTTTCGCGAGCAAATTTAGAGAAACATGCCTAGCTATGCTTGGTGTAGTATGCTGAAAAGTCATGACGACTCAAAGAGAGGTTTGAGATGGCAGGTTGGAAATGGGCAGATGATCAGGATCTGGCAAAATAAGTGGCTTCCACACCAGCCAGGTTATTAAGTTCGGTCGCCTGTTACAGGTTACATCCTGAAGCCAAGGTGAGTGAATTAATTAATCGCCATACCACACCATCATAAAGATCTGGTTTGATCAATGGTATACTATTGCCTTTTGAAGCAAAACAAATCAAGAGTAAACCATTGAGCTTTCAATCCACAGAAGACAAGGAGACATGAGAATATTCAATATGAAGATTATTCAGTGAGGAAGTGGCTATTTTAAAGCTCTAGACTAGAAGAATGGTGGTGAAGCACAAGGTACATCTCTTTCGAGCTCTTCATCCCAATTTAGCTGGAAATATATATGACAAGCAAAATCCCACAAAAAGTCCAACGCTTCATATGGGGAACATCTATAACTCACTTCCAACAAAGGCAAACATAGACAACGCATATTAGGCAATTGGACCCCCTCTATCCGAAGATGTGGAAAGGGGGATGAAACAATTGACCATGTGTCAAGAGATGTCCATTCGCAAAAGCATGTCGGTATGCTTCTCTCTTGGATTAGATGTCAAGTGATAATGGGCATTTAAGAATGGATTGTGAAAGAAATGGGGGGAAAAGAGCAAAAGCTTAGAGTTAATTTATATGGTAGCACGGGCAACATGGGGGGCAGGTGGCAAATTGGTTTTTCATAAAAATGAAACTCCTTATGTATTCTAATCTCAAAGGCGGTGGAGTTGCAAGAAGAATATCTAGCTGTTGCATCTCTTCTAGATATGAATCTGCCTTCTAGTGGTTTTCCTATGTCATGGATGCCTCCATCTTTCCCATATGCAAAGGTGAATATTGATGCATGCTTTACAAATCAAAAGGAACTAGGGATGGGTATTGTTGGCAGGAATCATTGGAGCAAAATAACGTTTGTTGCTTTCGATAAGACAAATGAGGGTTTTTCTGCAATTATGACCAAAACATTAGCTTTGAGATGGGAGATGGTTTACCTACTCAAATAGTAAGAGTCAAGATCAAACTGAAGTGGGAGTCCTTTTGAATGTTATCATAATTTCAGGTTGGATTTTCATTGCATTTCATTTTCTTTCGTTTTGTTTCATCTCTGGATTTTGTAATTCCATATTTCGTAGCATTGCTTAGACTAGGAGTATAATGAGACTGTTTATCATTTGGAATGAAGAAGCACCTCATGAGGGCTTCTCACTAATGTATTGCTGATTTATATTTAGTATAAAATTTGACTTTCACCCTTAAAAAAC